AGAGGTCTTATTAGATGAAAACAACTGACATTTACAAACTACTTGTGTGCCAGGCACTGTTAACTCAATTCTTCTGGATTCTTAGCTACCCAGGCAGGTGTTATTGTCATTGTCCTCTCCCTAAGATGAAGGTACTAAGGCATAGAGAGATCATGCAGCTAGTTAGTGGGGAGGGGGCCCGTGTTTTGAACCTAAGATATCTGGTTCCTGAGTCTGCACTCTTCATCATTATATATAATGCCTTAGAGAAGGGTAACAGATGGATTGTTATTAACTGTAGGGTAAGTGGAGGCAGTCTGGCTTCCTCACCCAGGTGTCCAGGTAGCTAAGGGGAGCAGTGTTCCCATAGTGTTGGAGGGCCCTGATAACTAGTGTTCTCAAAACCTTGATTCTGGGTCTGATAAACTGTCCCCATAACATGAGGTGGGCTTGCATGCACAGAATTATGTTATGTTATATTACATAATTTCTGGCATCTTGCTGGCTTTGTTCTCCTCTAGTACTTAAACAGGTAGGGACTCCCTGCTGGGGCAATGACGAGAAACACACAAGGGGACAGGTGCCATGATGGGTGCCGTGCTGGGGAGCAGGGGCCATGACATGAGACATGCAGCTAGACATGCAGCTTGCATAGACACATGGCTCGCCCACCCATGAATAAAGGCATGCCAGACATTCCAATGCTCCATGAATATTATTCTGTGTGTGTGAATACCATGGACCTGCCTGGCCTTGAAGGATGGCAACACAGTAACATTGGCAGGAACAATATCAGTGGTTCTGTGGGGTTTAAAAAGTGATTTAGAAGCAAGAGGATCAAGACCAAATCCAGCCCTTTGCTACAAAGAGTGGTCCACTTCCTTCTGGCCCCAGTCCGGTCTTCTAATTAAACTCTGCCTTTTCACAAGTTCTCAGGTTGTTCGTGTGCACAGTGAAGTCTAAGACATGTGAGACTAGATGGTCTTTCAGGAACTGTAGCTGAAAGGAGAGGGAGAGGAAAAGGGAGAGAGAGAGTAGTGGTAAGTGAGAGATTTTCTTTTTAGGCTGGAGAAACTTAAGCATGTTTATAAACTTAGAATGGTGGTTTGCAAACATGTAGCACATTAGAAGCATGTAGGGTGCTGTTTAAAATGACCGGTTCCCTCAAGCCCATCTATAGAAAAAGCTTTCTGTGTGATTCAGGTGATTCTAAAGTGTGTCTGCTGGAGCAGAGAAGACACATGTAAAGGGAAGGCACAAGTAAGGAAAGACAGGATGGAGGTTTAGGAGACAGGAAATGGAAAATCAATGAAGGCCTCCCCAGGGAAATGGGAAGCCATGAGATGCAAATGAAGAAATGCAAACAAGATGTTTTAGGGAAGGAGGAGAGGCCATAACAGTAAAACAGAGAATAAATTTGCAGATGGTTGGGACCGAAAAGGGGCTAGACACTTGAAAGGAATCATACTCGAAAGCCATGATTGATTCATTGATTTCTTAAATTTTAACTAGGACATTTATAGTGTTGTTACAGAAAAGCGGGGGCGGGGGCAAAGGAGCGCCAATATACTGTTACCGAAGGACTCCCCCCCCTCCCCGGTTCATCATGTCTGCTGCCTTATAGGAAAGACATCTTTTTAATGCCAGAGATTCGTGAAGAGGAAAGGAAATGTTTATTTAATGCTATACAGACTTAAAGTAGTGACCTAACGTCTTCATCAAAATCCCAAAGTCCCTTAAAACACCCACAAACACACACTGTCCTTCCTTCCCCCCTTTGCTCAGCCTGGAGTACCGTATCTCAGGAAAAGAAATAGAAGTCCGTGGCTCAGGCAGCTCCCGGTTCTTCTCAGTAATCTGTCTCAGCTGGTAGGCCTCCCTTGGTTCCTGGCACCACCAGCTGTGTCGCTGGGATCTTTGCTAAAGCCAGGTGGTGGTTCCCCCTTCCAAAGCTGCGGGGTCCCCACTTTGGCAAAGCCAAGTGACTCTCCTTTCTATTGCCGCAGCTGTGTGGTTCTCTCTCTGCAATGGCTGTGAGGAGGGGGGGGTCACCACTCTGCCAAAGCTGATTGGTGGTTCTCTGCTAAAGCCACATGGTGATTCTTTCTCATAGGGCTGCGGGAGTCTCTCCACTCTGCCAAAACCACGAGGCTCTCCCCCTGCCAGGGTCCCAGCTGCGTGGTCCTCTCCCCAATGACTGCCATGTCTGGGTTTAAATCCCTGCGCCAATCTTCCTCTGCAGCCCCATTTCCGACTCCGCCCACAATTGGCTACACTTGCCAGTATTCCCATATCCTTCCAGCTTTACTGGGTTGCCACTGTGAATCTGGGCAGGTGTGACCCCATGTCATGGAGCCAATCATCTCCAAGCTCCCATGCAGGCGCTGTAACTCAGGGGACCTGCCCTCCAGTTACATCTTGGTGGGGAAGTTACTTCCATTCCCCTGGCTCAGAGCATGGCCACAGCTATTTAACACATCTGTACAAACAGTTAAAGGTTATAGATATGTTAAATGACCATGCCAGAGGTCAGCTACAAAGCTGTTGCTATGCAAAACAGCGTTTAATGGTCCTGCTCCCTTTGTCCCTTCCCCCAACCCACACCTGTGCAGGGGAGGGTGAGGACATCCTAATATTTCCTGAACACCTTGAGTTCTGGACCCCATTTCAAATCCCTGTTTGGGGTCCCCCCTCTTGGCTGCACCCTGCTACAGTGTGGCAAAAATGGTACTTTAAAAACTTAAGTTATATGGTATTACTGGTCTGCTCAAAGCCTTGCAGAATCTTTCCATCACACCTGGCTTACTAGACCCTTGGTAATCTGCCCTTGCCAACTTCATTCTCTGTTCTCCACTGACCTCCAGGCCACAGGCTCTTCAGTGCTCCTTTTGGTAGGAGCATATTCCTGCCTTAAGGCCTTTGTACCTGCTGTTCCCACCTATGTACTGTTATTCATCCAAATATCCACATGGCCTCCTCCCTTACTTCATTCAGGTCTGCTCCAATGTCTTCAAGTCAGAGAGGACTTCCCTCACCCCTCTCTCTCTCCTTCTGCACTGTTTTCTATCAGTACTCAATATCATGTCATAAACCTACTTGCCTATTTGTTTAAGGTCTGCCTCCTCTACCAGAAGGTAACCTTCATAGAAGCAAGAATTATCTTGCTCACTATGGAATACCCATCACTTAGAACAATAAGCACAGAGGTGGTGCTTGCAAAATGTTTGATGAGTAAATAAATGCCTGCTGCTGCTTGGTGAAAATGAAAGGCTGCTGAGATGGAAAGGTATTGCTGAGAGTACCTGGGGAAGATGATTAGCCAGGGAGATTGTGAGAAAATGAGATGACTGGGGACAAGTAAATAGGAATCTTTAAGAGACTAATCAAGGAGGGAGTGTAGGGTTGCAATGGCAGGAAAGACAGTAAACAATGCAGTTTCCCTGTGTGGCTGAGAACATGGTTTATGCTCGAGACCAACTTCTACTCTCTGTGTGGCTCTGGGCGAGTTTGTTCATTTTTCTAAGCCTCAATTACCCCATTGTGGAGCTGATAACCATAGTATCTTCCACCTTAGGTTGTGATGAGGTTAAATGAATTAATAGCCTTAAAGATCAGGACACAGGGTGAGCTCTTAAAAAGTATTAACTATGATGATCCAAAATTGGGGGAACAGTGTAAAATACCATAATGCGAAAAGATGTTTCTGTAATTGTTTTAAGTCCAAACTTGATGTGTTACTTCTTCCCAATCATATTCCCCATACAAATGTATCTCTGTATTGCCAGCCCCATCACCAGCCTTTTTCCCTTTCTGATGGCTTGTCTCAGAGTTAGCCTAGCACCCAGCACAGTAAGTTCTCCATAAATATTTGTTGATGTTCACTGCACTTCTCCCAAACAGTGCTAAGGTGTTACTTGTTCAGGAAAATCTTGATGTAGAGTGGGAGAGTTTGGTGTCTGCAACCTCCTTCAGGGGTGTCAACACTGAGAAAGAAAGACACTACCAAAAAGGACTTCTGGTGGCTAACTGGGTTTAAATGTAAAAACAGAGCCTAGCAGCCATTTCTAAACCAGGGCCCCCCATACTAACAACCTGAGGGAGAAGCCTGTACTAAACTGCCTGCTGGCACTACTTCTGCCAACTGAGCTAGCCCTTATAGATGAGTTCCTGGAATTATATTTCAATCAAGAGGACTGACACTTTTTCTGTCCAGTTGGAGCCTTGCAGTTACATCCTCATTAGTATCTCCATTAACCAATCAGAGCAGCTCCTCCAAACAATCAGGAAGAACAGTGCTTTTTTGACCAAACTGGGAGGATCTGGAGTCCTCATTTACGTGAGAACAGAGCAATCAGGGACCTGAGGCTGAGACTTCTTTCAGCTTTCCCCTGGCTGAGAGAGCCCACTTTCCTTTTCTATTGAAACCTGTAGGTTGTGAGTCCCTGGCTGGAGCTGACACACAGAAAACTCTCTTGCTAGGGCAGGTCACAGCAGGATGAGGTGGAGCAGACCAGCTTGAGCCAGCCCAGAGCACAGCTGTGTAGCCAAAGAGAGGCCTTGCGCGGGGCAGTCTCCTCAGGGTCAATCTCATAGCAGTGCTATTCCATAATTGGGCTGTAACACTATTGAGCTGCTCCACAGCCATGTTGCTTCACAGCTGTGCTGTATCATGATTGAGATGTTGCACTGAATCAAGTTCTCTTTCTCACCACACACCAAACTGGGGATTCCTGTTGATACTGACTTGGCACCAACCACCATGGACCAAAGGGTTGCCAAGGGAAATGGGTTAGGTGGAAAGACAACGTTCTGCAGGCTCTGAATCATTTATAAGGCTGGCGTAGTAAACTGGCTCGATAGGACAGGAGTGGTTTTATCCTCTGGACCTTCCTTAAGGAGCCATCTGCATCCAGGTGGGCTGGGGGCCAAAAATCGCCAACAAAGCTTTTGGTTCCTTTAAGAGGCTTGGCCTCCCTATAGCCGGTTGAGGGAGTGATTGGCTGAAGCTGCCCATCCCGGCGGGACTCTGTTGCTAGGGCGCGGGCGCAGGGGGTCGGGGGTACTGCAGCGGCTGCGCAGAGGAGCGAGGTGCTTGCTGGGTCCTGGGCTGTGAAACTACGCCAGGGGTTTTGCGGAGCGCAGCGCAAGTCTGTGCATTTCCCAGGCGGGTGGCGCCCTCGCCCTTGGGGCTCGCTAGGTGGGCGCTTCCGGCTCGCCAAGCAGGGCCCCAGCGACTTTCCGCACCATGGGCCAATGTGGTATTACCTCCTCGAAAACTGTGCTGGTGTTTCTTAACCTCATCTTTTGGGTGAGCGGGGCCGGTGGGTGGGGAAGGGTGAGGGGCGGTGGTGAGGCTTTGGTTGAGGTGCTGGAGGGGTCCTACAGAGTGGCCGGGGAGTCCCTCCTGGGCCAGATGGCGATTAGGGGAAGCCTTCGGGGGGCTTCAAGCGGCCTTGGCGCGTGGGCCTCAGTGCTTGGCTGGCTCCGGGCGGGGGGGCTGCACGCCGACCGGCTGGGCCGAGCCCCTGTTCTCTCTCTGGAGCAGCCTGCAGGACCGAAAGCTTCCACAGTAGATTCGTTCAAGACCTCGGGCTTGGAACAGGATATTCCCCAAAGGGTCAGGCTCCGCTCTTTGTCGGCCAGGAGCCGCTGCAGCTCTGCTGCCTGTCGCGAGACATTCGAACAAACGGCGTACATAAGCGGGGACCTGCCGACTCAGCGGGAGGACTTTTAACTTAGAGCTCTGTGTGAATATAGAACTGGTTGGCTGCTTACTACCACGAAAACTGAAAGGTTTCAACTTGATACGTAAAATAATCCTTTGACCAAGAAAAACAAACTGTTTGGTCATGGGGGTGGGGAGACTGAAATTAAATGTCTTGGTAAATAAATATACTTAGGATGTCACAAGATTTCAAAAGCAGTGAGTTCACTTTCGATAAAAGGTGGTTTAGGATTTTTTTTGACACATCCCCAAAGAAAGGGGTGTTTATAACCACTTCATCTTAGTTCAGGTCCTTATCTCACCAGGGACTTTGGTAATAACCTGTGTTGGTACTAACAACCTCTAGCCTCTATCTAGCCCATCTGGAACTTGCAACCCTAGGCCGCCCCCCCCCCAAATTTCAGCAGTAAAGTAAGGTTCAACCTCCTCCTGGTATTGCAGCTGCTGACCTCAGTCACCTTTCCTCCTCATGACTGGTCATATTCTTGAACACTTGCTGCCCTGCAAAGACTTCTCTTGCCACAGTCACCAGTACACTCCTGGAATATTCCCACTTACCATACTTTTCTGTGTCTCCCATTCAACTTCTCCTTCCCACACACATACCTAATTTGGAAAAAAAATCCTTCTTAGAATCCCCATCTCCCTACCCCCCTCAGAAAAAAGTATGAAACTTTTTGTATCCCCACTGCTGTAGCTTAAAAGGAGAATTATATATCACAATAATACACAGATGAATAGCTATGGAAGTCTTTTAGGGTGTTTATACTGTGATAGGAGGAGTCCCAATTAATAGTACCTGTTGAAAATCTCCCATGTAACATTGGGGTTTTCATAATTCCTTCTTTCCAATTAGTGTTTCTCATACTTTGGTTTGAGTTACAGCCTTTTTAAAAGGTATTTTCAGGGATCCTCAAATGATAAACACTCTGTTATTAAGAAGATAATTAAACAGAGACTTGGCTTTGTACCCTTGAGTTTCTTGTGATTTTTCTGGGCATAACTATTTGATTTTGAAGAATAATCCGTTAGGTGAATTCTAGGCTATTTAAGCTTAGGGACTGGAATTGTTGTTAATGTAATAAAATACTGGAAATACAGGAGCCATTTTCTTTAAATACTTAAATTTTTATTTACTCTTAATTATCAGTTAATTATTGATAGTTCATGAATCTTTGGAACTTGTGTTAGCATGTGTACTATTGGTACTTTCTTCAGTGAAAAAAGGTTGTTATGTTGGAATTCAGTTGTTTTCCATAGTGAGTTTTTGCCAGGCCTAAAGTGGCACAGTCTAGTAAAAATACCCTTGATCTAGGTTAGCAAGGATAGTAAAGCTTTTGTGAGCTGTGATAAGGAAGTAGACGTGCAGGGGGAAAGAAGTGGGATAGAGCAGATTAGTGTGACCTAAGTTTTGAGGAAACAGTATTATTAGATATGTCTCCCATGAAATGATTAGTTTACGGACAAACTATTGGAATTTGCTGATGATGGTAATGATAACTAATATTTGCATGCTTAGTATACCTAGGTATCGCGCTAAGCACTTTACATGGAGTGTCCTCAGATCAGCTTCATCTGGCAGGGAATATTATTACACTTATTTTACAGATTAGGACATTAAGGGTCACTGAGTTAAAAGTAATATTCTCAGGGTATGGCAGAGCCTGCGTTCAAACTCAGGTTGCCCTCTACTTAAGAGCCTGTGGTGTTAGAGCAAAGTGTGATTTCAAAAGATTTGGAAAGGAAAAGGATCTCATTAGTCTATATTAGAGTTACTTTCTCTAAAACATACTGGTTTTAACCTTGTTTAGAATCCATACCAGTATTTAAAACACACTATTTAACCTTATCAGTTTAAAAAATTAGGCCATTATGAGGAAACACATAAAACAGATATGTTAACTGGTTCTCCCTGGGAATTTGTGATGCATTCTTCAGTACTAATAAGTGTATCCTTATATAGTGGCCCCTTCCTCCTTTTGAGGCATTAATGAATAAGTGGAAGAATAAGCATTCCCTGCATAGGGCATATTAAAAGTTTATCTAGGTTCTCTTCGAGCAACTTCTTAACTGTTGTACTGGCTTTTCATGGTCAGATGGTAATGGCTGATTGTGGAAAAGTATTAAAGCTTAATTACTTTGGCAAGCTCTTTAAACCTTTTAATATCTTTTTTCTTTTTTTAAATATATTTTATTGATTATGCTATTACAGTTGTCCCATTTTCCCCCTTCACTCCCCTCCACCTTGCCCACCCTCTCCCACCCACATTCCCCCCTTTAGTTCATGTCCATGTGTCATAAGTTCTTTAGCTTCTACATTTCCCATACTATTCTTGCCCTCCCCCTGTCTATTTTCTACCTATTGTCTATGCTACTTATTCTCTGTATCTTTTCCCCCTCTCTCCTCCTCCCACTTCCTTGTTGCTAACCCTCCATGTGATCTCCATTTCTGTGGTTCTGTTCCTGTTGTTTTTGTTTGCTTAGTTTGCTTTTGTTTTAGGTATGGTTGTTACCAACTGTGAGTTTGATGTCTTTTTTTTACTGTTCATGTTTTTTATCTTCTTTTTCTTAGATAAGTCCCTTTAACATTTCATATAATTAGGGCTTGGTGATAATGAACTCCTTTAACTTGGCCTTATCTGAGAAGCACTTTATCTGCCCTTCCATTCTAAATGAAAGCTTTGCTGGATAGAGCAATCTGGGATGTAGGTCCTTGCCTTTCATGACTTGGAATACTTCTTTCCAGCCCCTTCTTGCCTGCAAGATCTCTCTTGAGAAATCAACTGACAGTCAGATGGGAACTCCTTTGTAGGTAACTATCCCCTTATCTCTTGCTGCTTCTAGAATTCTCTCCTTCATTTTTACCTTGGGTAATGTAATTATGATGTGCCTTGGGGTGTTCCTCCTTGGGTTCAACCTCTTTGGGACTCTCTGAGCTTCCTGGATTTCCTGGAAGTCTATTTCCCTTGCCAGATTGGGGAAGTTCTCCTTTATTATTTGTTCAAATAACTTTTTCCACTTGTTGTTTTTCCTCTTCCCCTTCTGTTACCCCTATAATTCGGATGTTGGAACGTTTAAAGATATCCTGGAGGTTCCTAAGCCTCTCCTCATTTTTTTGAATTCTTGTTTCTTCATTCTTTTCTGCTTGGTTGTTCCTTTCTTCCTTCTGGTCCACTCCATTGATTTGAAACCCAGTTTTCTTTCCATCACTATTGGTTCCCTGTGCATTTTCCTTCATTTCTGTTATCATAGCCTGCGTTTGTTCATCTAATTTATGACCAAACTCAACCAATTCTGTGAGCATCCTGATCACCAGTGCTTCGAACTGTGCATCTGATAGGTTGGCTATCTCTCGGTCACTAAAAAAACTGTCTCTGGGGCTTTTAATTCTGTTTGAGCCATCTTTTAAATTTTATTTTTATTTTTTTTTTCCTTTGGTCTGGTCACACCTGATAGGTATGAGGGGCAGAGCCTTAGGCGTTCACCAGTGCGGGGCACCTCAGTCGCTGGGTTGTGACGTTGTATGTGGGGGCAGGGTCTGAGAGGGAACAGTGGCATCTGCTCCACGCTCTCTAGGACTTCAGTCTTCTTTGCCGCTTCCCACAAGCAAATTGGGCCCTTCTGGTGCTGGCTCCTGGGCGGGTGTGCTTGTGCACTCTCTCGGACTCTGTGGGTTTCTCCAAGGAGCCTCCTGTGAGGCTGAGAGAATCTCCCAGCCTCAACTCCCACAGGTGTTTTCAATTGGTGCCTTCAGGCTTTGTTTCCTGGGGCTGGGTCCCTGGGTTGCAGTTTGTGTCACTGCCTGTTTTTGCTTAGTTTGTCTGCGTGAGAATGTGTGGCTGCGGATAGCCAGCTGCCTTACGCACCTCACTGAGTCTGCTCATTGCCTCCCACATCCAGGGTCTGCCACGGGTCGGTCAGCTGCCCCTGCGATTCTGGGGTCCACCAACTGCTGTCTGCACCCTGCACGCCCGTGTCTGCCAGTCACCACTTTTTCCTGCCAGGACCCCTCGACCCCTCCCCGTAGGCCTCAGACTCTGCCCCTCCTTACCGGTCTGGATGAATGGTAGTCAGACTTCTGTTCGGTTCATTTCTCTCAGTTCTGGTTGTTTCTTTGTTTCTAAATTCTTGTCCTTAGTTTTGGTTGCACGAGGAGACACAGTGAGACTACCTATGCCTCCATCTTGGCTGGAAGTCCTAACCTTTTAATATCTTGATATCTTGGTTCATTTGGCACTTTGTTCAGTGAGCTGTGATGTGGAAATGCACCTGACATATATAGGCCCCACATTAAATGATGTGTCAGCCAAAGTTGTTAACATTGACTTGGCCTAGATTATTTTGGACAGTGCAGTCTAAGACAGTTACTGTGGAAGGACACACACTAAAAGGGGAAATAACCATTCCTAAAATCTTGAAGGTTGTCTAATGAAAACAGTTCCTCATTATATTGCAGAATGTTAGGGCTGTGGTTTGAAAGATACTTTTGAACAACTAAAAGGATGTACAACATAGATCTCTTTGTTTATACAGAGTGGCATAGCTGTAAATGTAAGTACATTAGTGCTAGACCCATGATGATT